CCTCACATGAATTTGCCCAAAGGTTTCAACTGAATTGGGGTCCCACCATTTCCGTCCTCCCAAAAAGAAACCTTCCACCCCCCTGTCACAAAGGAAGCAGTCAACCCGGTGTTGCCCCCTTTTGTTTGCGCACAAACGCGCTTGTTTTCCCGCCTTGAAGCCCTGTCGGCTCAGCTCCTCTCGGAAGTAATTCGCATTCTCCCGGATGGCGGCCAACTTCTTTGCCTCGGACGTGGATCCGCCGAGGTCTTCAGGACTTGCACCGCACCGGTGAGGAGCGAGCGGCCCCCGCGAAATAGAGGGAATAGATCGGACAATGCTTCTGTAATCTATGTTGTTTTGCAAAATGCAGCCATAGTAGTTGTCTAGAATGCAATGAACATGGGGTCTGCGTCGGTCTGAGGATTGTTTATCCTTGCCGGATGTACCTGCGGTTGTCAAGTTTGCCACCTCCTTTTTCCTCGTTCACTCCCGTCCAGCTGAGATCGGAACACCGGTGTCACCGCCCTCCTCGCCAGAGATGACCCTGAGCGCCTCGTTTCGGTCTTCGTGTTGGCGAACTCGTGTGGCCAGTTGGGGGGTGAGAGCAGCGGATCATCCAGGCTTGGCCGTAGCTGGGATGGTTCACAAGTGGTAACAAATGAGGGTGTCATATGCCTACAGCAGCCAAAAATGCATGCCATGTCTTTCGTTCAGCTCCACAATGCTCCATGGCGCAGCTTTTGATCATGCTACCGCTACCTACATTACATTGTTTTTTACATGCAAAAAAATGCATTGTACATGTAAAAAATACCACACACATCCTAAGGCAACACTTCATCGAATTGTTTGCCCTGGTCGTGTGGTCGGGAGCTCGAACCCGTTCGCGGATTCGCCTGCAGGGCTTGAGCCGCACAGGGGGGCGCCATGGCACCGGCAAAGACACTGCCGGGCCTCAGCAAGCCCATGCAACAAAGCAGATCTCAGCTTGTCAACACGAGAAAGATTAAAGAAAGAAAGATGATGGTCCCCCCCTTAAAATCAAAAAGCACGTCTATATATACTAATAAATTGTGTATATATGTGTATATAGATATCGAGATGCAGCTGTTGTTATTATGTGTACTGCATTACCACCCTCGATCCACTCACCACACTAAGGCTCCCGGCGCCACACGCCGCAGCTGAGCAATCACCTCCTTCGAAGCGGCCACGTAGCCACCGGCCTCGGTAGATGGGGGTGGCAGGATTTTTGATTTTTCTGAGATGTGTTGATGATTTTTTTATGTATGTATTTGTGCTAAACATGTTTTGGGTCTCGGATGTACATGGTGAATTTGTTTTGCAGGCATGAATCTTACACATATAATATAATATATATATATATATATTATGTGTATATAATCTTGGAGGTTGGAATGCTTTCGGAGCTTTTGAGGGTCTGTTGGGCCATCCCTGAGCCATCACAAGGTTGTTTGCTTTTGCATCGTCTGACCTCCTCACCCTCCCACGGGCCGCTTCGGATGAGACCCGAACGCTGCCGAAGGACTTGGTGAATGTGCCCATCATGACCTCAGGAATGCGCTGCAGTTTCCTTGAAGGAATGCTGAGATCGGATGAGAATCATACTGTGTCTTGTGTCATTCCTCCTACTTCGATGTCATACCGTACCTCTACAGCCGAAACCAAGGCAGCTTGCTTCTCTGCCACCCCGACGTCTGCAAAGACTGCGTTGGGAGAATTCCAACCGAGGCCCCGACGTCTACCTCCCTTGTGGGAACTCCGAGCAATTCGGTGACTCCACGGCCGGTGCGCCCCACAGCGCCAATGGAGTGGGCCTGGGAACACCGTGGTCCGACCATCGGGGAAACTGCAAGGAGGCGGGTGGGCACAAGGCTACTCCCAAATCACAAGCTCTGCATATGGCGCTTTGAGCGGCACATGGCAGTCTTCAAGGCGGTCTTGGCCGCGCCTCGTCCAAGTACAAGTAGGCACCATATTTGTTCTTCAAGGACACAATCTCGCCTAGGCAGAACCAAAACCCGCCATCATCGCACCAAGCCTCCAATCAGGCATCTGGCATGTGCCGGGTGCGGTTTTTGCTGCCCACGGAATTCACTACACTACATCCCCGCTACGCCGCGATGTTTAACCATCATGTCCATCTAGGACGTCTGAGACGGCAACGCAGCCGGCAAAAATCTCCTTCCATCGAGTAGATGCCCTCAACGACCTGACCACGCAGGGTTGAATGCCAAAGCCAGCGCCTGAACCATTCCACATCCTTCTACATATATATATATATACACACCATTATACACCTAAACCAATTCAGTGGCAGCAACAAAGTACCACAGCAAACTACTTGGCCCAAGGTGCGTAGAGGTCGCCGGGGGTTGTCATGGCTTTTAGACGTTGTAAGGCGTTCTAAACCTTTAGACTGACTGATGTTTCTCTATTTGTGTCATTGAGGCCTCAACCTGACTCAGGAGGGTGTAAAGTGAGAGTTTCGCCACAATGAGAAGTACATTGTGTTTCGATTCTTAGCAGAACCCCAAGCTACTTTGCTTTTGAAGAACTAGGCGGATATGGATATTATATGATACTAGTATTATGGACCTCCCAAAATTAAGACGAAGGACAAGAAAGTTAACAAAAACGGAAAAGCACAACAAGAAAACTGTTGTTGTGTTCGAGTGTCCAGTATCGAGTTTACACAAACGTCGTTTAATCTGCACGACCTTGTTGTGTTCGTTCTTCTGGAATCGAGCTTTCGCGAAGGGTCGTTTCATCCCCAAGCCTACAGCGTTTCTGGATTCGTGTGCACACGTGTGCAAGAACAGTCGTTTCATCTTGACACTGGTGATGATGCAAATTGCCTCCCACCACCCCAACCCGCGAGAAAGTGTGTGTAGCCATGAATGAGTGTGACGCCTGCATCAAAAATGCCCGAAAGCAACCTTAAAAACTATTGAACCTGCATACAAAGCATTAAACGGCCCAGTGGCCCTAAAGTCAACTGCGGACCTACTGCAAATCGTGCACGAAAACACTATTTACTGTAAAAAAAAAAGTGTGTTTCAAAGAATTGTACCATTGGAAATTCAACGACCTCTTGTTTTGGAGTGAAGGACCACGTCGCGGCGTCGCGCAAGGACCATCGCCGTAGGTCGCCGGACCACGAAGATCTTCCGCCAAGGCCTGGTCGTGCGTCGGTCTCGTAGGGGTCGCTCGTCAGTGTGGTCAGGTGAGCACTGAAAAAGTTAGATTAGATGCCATGATCATCCATGATATACATAATGATATACTTTTGAATGTGCCCTAGTTCGCAACTTGCAACATCTTGGAACTGCAAGTTCTTGGAGCACGGCTTGCCGCTGGCTTGCCTGGCTGCATTATGTATCGGAATCCACCAGGGACTGTCTTCAAACTTCAAAGTACAGTATCCCTCTCTCCCTGTCTGTTGAGAGATCATCAACGTGGTGGAAATATGACCTTATCCGTATCACTGAGTCGGGTTTTTGACTGATCTGTCAACCGCGACGGTGGAACCCTTGCTCAATGGCACGATTCAGCTCTGTCTCCAACGCTGTCATGTTGTTGTGCCTAAGCTCACGTGGCTCGAGGGTCCTTCCAGCAACTAAAGGCCATTGAAACTCTCACATGTTGTTGCTTTCTCGCGTCGGTTTGCCTATAAGTCTATCCAAAACCTATGAATGAAAGCCATGATATAAGACACTGATACAAATAACTTGTTGGACAAAGCCATGGCACGGTTAGCAACATCACTGGGCTAGCCCACTGAAAGGCTCGCACTGTACAGCCCGACAAGCGCACACCTCGCTGCTGCAATCTAAAAAGTTTTAAGGAAATGGAGAAAACGATGGCCCCCAACCTAAGAGCGATGGCCTCCAGCCAACATATGTTGGAATTCCGCCCAGCGCATGGTGCGCTGATTCCATATCAGGCGTGGCCCAGGCCCACTGTGAGCCAACCCAAAAAATGCAAAAACAATTCAATTATCCTGTGACAGAGTCTGGCCCTAGTTGCTCCTTCTCGCTGTTCACACCATCGTTAGCTACTCCTGGAGGTGGAGGTGGTCCTTACAGGAGACCTCCCCAAAACAGAAGAAACACACCCAAAGCTTTGGGCACTGCTGCATGTCCTGATGGCACCTGGCCACATCCCCGCCTTCCACAATGGATCGGTGGTTCAACTCGTCGCTCAACACCAAAATGCCAGTGCCTCCGGCCTATCGAGTTTTGAGGAAAAACCGTTGTCAACCAGGTTCTATATGTTGTAAGTTCTGAATGTACACATATATAGTATATATTATATATGTTTTTTTGTCATAGTTCTATCAGCCTGAATACTCAAACAGTGCTCTACTATCCAATCGAGTCTGATTCTATTCCGTACTACGATAAGACAAGAGTTTGGTTGTCTTTATCAAAACGCCTACTGTAGCAAATTCTCCTTTGCGTTCCTTTACTTCACTGGATGTTTTTGATATCTGTTGATCCTCCAGGTCCTATTGGCAAAAATTTCAGCTGAACCATTTCACCAGGCAACTGAATTTTCTCCTCTCTAGCAAAAGGCCGGCTGTCCATTGCCGAGCCCGCCCGGCTGAGCGCCTTCGCCTCAAAGAGTGCCGGCAGGATGGTGGAGTTCGTGGCAAAACCTGGAGATCAGCCATCGAGCACCAAGTGCAACTGATGCGCCTCATTTTTTTGACAGAAAAACTGAACATCACTCATACAATCATACATCATCACTGCTCCATCTTTTCGGTCTGACTAAGCACATTCTCTTGCATGATGTCTGCTACGGGAGTGGCAGGAATGCAAAAGAATGCATGTCGTGCCCAAGGTCCCACAACACGGCACATGGCCAGTGGCATTTCAAAAGCCACAGTGTCCATCTTGCCCAAAACAGTCCAATGATATCCAGTAATTGGAAGTGTCTTGACTGCAAATCAAAGCGAAAGCCAGTTTGGCATGACAACTGCTCAGCTCACATCATCTCAGATCTCCTCCTCTGTCCTTCCCTTCGCGTCCTCTGACTTTTGGATTCTTCTCCAGATTCTCCAAGTCTGGCGCGGGCCCAAGAACTTCTTCCTCGAAGTCATCATCTTCAGGATAGGAATCCAGAAGGTCGAGTTCTTCAGGTGTACAGACATACTTCAAAGCTTTGCGAATGAAGGCCAGGGAGGCCATGAGGAAGGAGAACACCACTGAAGTCTCTTTGATGGCTTTCAGGCCATAGAGAATGCCCAAGTAAATCAGCCGTCCCAAGGTGTGGTGGTGCACACGCTTCAGCGGCAACTTCTGGATGTACTTGTACTGAGGATAGTTCTTTGGCTCCCAAATCAGCCACAGCCAAAAGCGATCGAAGGGGTTGTTGCCAGTAAGAGATGCAATGCCCGCGTGGCGGAAGACACCTTGAAGAGCTGCGCGAGGCAAGAACTTGAGGGCCGGCGGCAGAAAGAGAGCCAATCCGATCAGAACGTGAATCAAGAAGTTCGTCGCAGGCTCCACCACCTTCACTGGCACTTTGCGCTCACCCCTGTCAAGCGCCTTGACTTCGTAAGTCGTCAAAGAGATCACATGTGTGATGCTGGGGACGGTTGAGGCCACTGAAAGTGGCAAACCCAAGATTGCTGGCACCGCGCACAAACAAGTCCAAGTGATAGCCTGGGCCCTTCTTCGGGTTGTTCGACGCCCCACATAGGGAATAGGTCGAGACCATTGGGATTCACGATCCGCAGGCGTCTCGCCAATTGCCACCACCAAGTTCGGAGAGAAGTTGGTGTCCACAGACAGCATGTGGAGAGATAGATCACTGGCGCAGATTGTTGCCAAGGCGGAAGCTGAAACAAGGGAGATTGCGCCAGGAAGTTCCGAAGCGGTCGCAGCATCCAAGGTGTTCTACGCATTCCGGACCAGTAGGTTGCCAGTCCAGAGGTGTAGATGAACAACAATGCCTCCAGCATGCAATTTGTCAGTGGGATGACTCCGTCAGCAAAGTTGTTGACGATAGGCCTCGCGCCATCAATGATGAAAACCAGGCCAACAGGACGCTGAAGACCGAACACCATAAGTCCAGAAGTAAAACGGCATGAACTCGAGATCCATGGCCTCAGACAGATCGTAGACCACAAGAGTGTGTGCCAAGGGACCAGTTGCCCCGAGAATGGACAGCGGCACTCCAAACTGGCCATTTGTGCCAAGCGGCTTCCAAAAGTGATGGCTGGGGCTAAAGCCGCAACGAAGAGGTAAAGGATTGTTGAGAGTGACTTTTGCACGTTTTCTCTTTTGAAGGCATCGTCCAATCACTTGCAAAGAAGGGTTGCGGCCTGTGAGTCCAGTGGGCCATAGTCCTTCTTTCCACCATTCACGATGTAGCCCAACTGGTTTCGCACTACTCCGGCGGCCTCCGACATTGCTTGTTTTTGATCCGATTGGCACCTGCAATCCTGGGAGCCAAGCTCTGTCTTCAGCCAAAAGGACTACGGAATTAGCCTCCCTTCTGATTCCAGGCAAAGTTCTGTCGAATTCTGGCGCAGGCAAACATATTCTAAGAATACAAAACACCTTCCTGTCAGCCCCTCTCCCACCACTGGTCCGGGCAGAATCTCACTGACCCACTTACCCGCTGAGTGGTCCCGGCCCATGCCCAGCACCAACGCATCCTCCTTGCTCAAATACTTGGCCACCTCTCGCTCCAAGTCCTGGTGGATCGCCTCAGTGAACACCGGTCGCACAGCATCGATTTCGTGGTGATTTTGTCACGTCAGTCGACGTAAAGAGCCACAGTCACACATGGCGGTTCAGAAGCTTCGCGTTCTTCGTGGTTCCTCTTTATGTTTAGCGGTTTGCTTGCTGCAGTCTGTCTTCTGAACTGCTAGTTGCTAAATGTTGCTAGCTGCTACTGCCACAATAGCAATGCTGGTGATACCTCATTGTCAAATATTGTCAACTATCAGCTCACGGCTTGTTCTCCACATGCATAATTATATATATAATATATAGATCCAAAATGGGCCCACCCATCTCCCGCAAATCTGCCTTGGTTCCACCTTCCGTACCTCAGCCAGGGCTGAAGCGAGCCAGATGCATTGCTTGGTGAGGGGCCTCTTATATCCCAATTTATATCCTTCAAAACCCTTCAAAATACTGATTACACAGAATAGATCTAAATAAATAGTCGTCACCATCAGTCAACAGCAGCAAGAGCAGCTTGTGAAGTCTGGGTCTGCGATCCTTCCAGCCTTTGGCTAGTTTAGCTGCTAGCTGCGAACCAGGGTTGATCCTTCTCTCAGGATCAATTCTCTACAGTTTTTGTATCAAAAGCCATGGTCGTTTCTGCCCACATCCTTTCCACCTCAAGATACACATCCTTCTCCCCACCTCCAGACTGAACCCAGCCATGCGATGGTTGATTCGGCCATTGCTAAGTAGGTTGGAGGCCATCGCTAAGTAGGTTATAAATGAACACTCGCACAAACCGCGGCACGTCGACATGTCGGTCCCCCGGCGGGTGCCGCTCGTGGACCAGCCCAGCTCCCGTGCAGCCTTTCGCGCCACCGGAGTGCAGTACCTGGGTGCCGGGCCAGTGCTGGGAGACGCTCAAAGAGGCTCCAAGGTCTTTGCAAGGTCTTAAGTCTGAAGTTATCTACTGGATTTGTTTGGAAACTCTTTTGGATTCTTTTGGGAACACTTCTTAAGTTGACTTGTTGAGCCAAGAAGCTCGTCTACACCGCCGAAGCCCAGGTAGTTGTAGCTCGAGAGGTTTACACACATCCTGGAAGGCGTGGTCATGCGTGGACCTCAATTGGACTCTTCGGGACGTAGAGTAGACTCTGTAGACATTAGACATACAGGACTTCCATAGACTTCCTCTCATCTACTCCTTGGCGCCAAGTTTGCCGAAGTAGCTTTCTGTCTGCTGCTCAAATGATCTCAAATTGACCCCGTGGAGAATTTTCAGGCAAGGCTGTGCGCTTTGGACATCTTGCTGACTCATCTTCAAGCAAGGCTTCCCCATCTAGCTCCATTCTTCACCGTCAGCCTGTGCCGGCCAAACCTTGCAGCTGTTTCCCCCAAAAAAAAGATCGTAAGACGTCCGTCCATCTGGAGATGCACACCGACTTGACTTACAGCCTATGGCCGTGACTGAAAATGTTGAGTGTCCAAGGGTGAAAAGAGTTTGTTTTCCTCCCTTCACCAGTGCCCTTGCACGTGCGACCCGGGCGGTCTTTCTCTTCTCAGTGAGCTTGAGGTCATTCAGAGGGCCAAAGAGGTCTCCACCTGCTCGTTCCTCAAGAATGTACAAGCAAGTCCCTCAACATGGAAATCAATCGTTCTTCTGCCTCGGAGGTCTCCAGTTTGTACGTCCGTCGACCTGAACGCAACTCCCTCCAGTCACTTGTTATCCCGTTCACCGAAGCCCTCCACCTCCGTGACGTGTAGCTGCTTCACATGCGCCCTTCACCGCATCCCCGCCAAGACACTCGAATCACCACTTCGACCTTCGCATCTGGAGCGGACGAAATGGGGCGAGCGAAGCAGTCCACGTACAACTTGTACCTCAGCCACGTCCGGCGAGGTCCGAAATCACCCCCGGAAAGCTCAACAGCTACAAGGATGGGGCCATCAAGAGTCTAGAATCGAAAAATGTGGCAAAACACATTGATGTTGTTTGCTGAAATTAAGTGATTTCGCTCTCCTGTCACATAATTGTTCGATGAAGTAGGGATTTCATGCAATTGCAGCAATTGCAGCACCTGGCAATGAGACTTTTGGGAGCACTCCAGTCTTGAACCGAGCATTGCTGAGCTCCACGCATATGCTGCAAATAAAAGTCGGTCCACCCAACGCTCCACTTTTCACGCTTGACCTCATACAAGGGGACTCGATGAAGAATGGTCCAGATGAACTAGATGTGTCGTTTCGCGCTACTCTTTTGAGGCACTCGAGGGCGGCCCAGGAGTCCTGTCACTGAGCTTCTTGCGTATCGTACAGAGATGTCGTCTTGCAACACCACCGCGCAGGCACGCACGATATACTCGCGGATGAGTCCTCATGCGGATGTTTTGTGAAACAGAAATTACATAGAATCATAGAAATACTCTGTCTGGCTTTGAATTGTCCGGATTTGATCCTACCTGAGAATCCTGAGACATGGTCCCAAGCAAAAGAGGCGGACGTAGCCCCAATAGGCATGTGCCTCGTCGCGAATCCGCTGACGAAGTTGGCAAAGTTATGGTGAAGTTTCCCGGTGTCGGAGCTGCATCGCATTCTGAATCCATGAAATGGGAGTCCTTTTCATTTGATGAAATATCGTTTACTTATGTTTACTTGCTTGAGGATTTGCCATTGACACGTCTTCGAGCTGCCCAAACCCACGTGCTCGGACGCTCGGATGGCTCGGCGCCTTCGCATTTTCTTACAACCCCGGCCTCTTGCAGAAAGGTCATCTGGATCTTTTCATGCGCGGTACTGGCGGTCAGTGTCACGCGACGATCCAGTGGCTCGGAATCACTCGGCCCGGTGGCTGGTGACCGCATCGGATCTTGTGAGGGAACGGACACACAAGCTGGGGAACAGAATGAATCCTAACCCCCACCCTCCATCACACTACCAGCCTGGATACTACTGTAGGCTTATAGGGACATGACGGAGATAAATGAACACCAACAGTCCCGGGTACACTCCAGACTAACACGGACCTAAAAGCTGCTGGGCTGACCTCAGTTTCTCCTTGCCATCTTCCTTCTTGGAAGCTCCCTGCAGGCGACGGTCACTCTCTGCAAGCAGCAGTAGGAATTGCGTGGGTCGCAAGTTGTCAGGATCTCTACATCTATACTTATAACTTATATATAATTAAGCACTAGCACAAACGAGGCCTGCCAAAAACCAAAGAGGTACGTACTGTAAGCACTTCCGATATCTCTTCAGATGTTGTTATCACCAGTCTGGACGTACATCATAGAGGGCGTATTTTCATAGGGAGACCCCCCAGCCTTGGCCTTCGGACTCGGAGGGTCTTGCGATATATGCATGATACTATGACAGATACTCAGATCGCGAGATGCCTGCTTGACCACCTCAAAATCACTTCACTTTTGACACCGGAAGACCTTGCCTTGCCCCCAAGCTTCAAAATGGCAGCTGCAGCATGTGCACCAAGGCCTCAATCTGTGTCAAAGCCTACCTGGGAACATGTGATCCAAAAGGTCGCTGTCCACTCTGTCCACTCTGTCCACTTTGGTGTTGGGAGGGGCAACGACTGAGTCGACATGAGGGAATTCGCAACGCAATTGCTCATCCTTGCTCATCCTCCAGGTATACGTCAGGGTCTTTCGACGCCCAACTCTCTTAGCTTGAGATGTGGAAGTTTGCAAGTGCCAGTCTTCTCCGCCTGAAACAATCACGCTGCAGCTTCAGGCGTCCCTCTCACAAAACGAAAGAACATCCCGATTTTATCCCAATGTATGTCCAAAGCAACCTTCGGCTTCTACCCATCTCTTTCCACCTTCAATGCTGCAGAAATCCAAGAGGGACCCAATTTATTCCACCAAGCAACTCAGCAGCGTGGCACCCAGGCTTCCAAGGGCCTCCAACATGCCCGAGAGCCCCAGCGAGGAAGCCTAGGGTCGACCGCTGCTGGAACATCGTCCGACCCGGTCGATGCGGAGAACCCCCGTCAGTAGATGGTTTGGGGTTTGTGGACGTTTGTGGTGGGTGATGCTTGTTTATGAATCCTTTTGCCCTGTGTTACGGATGTTAAATCGCTAAAGCCATACCTCTTTGGGTTCAAATCGGTTTCATGGAGTCTTCAAACAAATAAACACTTGAAAAATGAACAAAAAAAACATTTAAAAAAAAAAAAAAAAAAAACTTGCTATACATGTCATATGTTGATATGTTTTGAGAACTTGCCGTAATCACACCCGGAAAATTAATTGTGAGTCATGGGTGGTGGAAACTCCAAGCAATTGTATCACCTGTCATTTTGGCTGGCTTCAGCCAATGGCCAGTGGTTGAAGTTGTATACATGTGGAAAACTCGACAGCGCATGGGCGAGGAGCCTCTTTGCATGACGATTAGATTGAGAGGATTCGGGGTTTCATTCATGGCATGGTTTTCCTTTTGACGCGAATGTAAACGGAACGATCCCTTAGCAGCGGCTGTCATGTACAAATGCCAACAATACACAGTCAAGAGTCTCCAAGCTCTGCAAGACCTTGCAAGGTCCTACAAAACCCGGCAGGATGCAGTAGCTTGTGTATCGTTGTGTAGCTTGTGAGGCCTCCCTACAGCTGTAGGATGCTACAAAGCTGGGCATCTCATGGCATCTCTTCATCTCTCTTCATGTCTGATTGAATCATGTTGAATCTCATCAACCCCATGTCTCTTCTACATGAGCACCTCTTCATGTCCCTTCATCTCTTCTGTCCTCTTTTCACCTGGTCACTACAGAGGCAAGCATCTCGTCTCCCCCAAACGTCTCCCCGGTCGGTCTCCCACCACGGTCTCGGCCCCGGGCATGGTCTCTGGGATCCCATCCAGTCAGCCTCGCTTCACCGGAGCCGCGCTCGGCTCGGCGCCGAAGGCGCGAACCGCGGCGCGAGGAGTGCGGCCGGTCCGGAGTCGCCTGAAGAGTCTGATCCCCCAGAGGTCGGGAGTCTGGAGTCTGACCGGAGTCATCTGAAGAATCCTTCCTAGTAGCTTCCTTGCTCCTAGTAGTAAGGCCAGGAGCCCCTAGTAGCTTCCTTGCTCCTAGAGTCATCTGAAGAATCCCTTCCAGTTGAGTCAACCAAGATGCCCAGCCTGAGGTGGTCAACCAGCATTCTAGGTATGCTGGGTGGCTCAGTCAGAGACCTACTGAAATTGATAACCCCAAAGGCCACTGGCTTTCATCGATTTTTTCCACCCAGGGATCTCTATGCCGCATAGTGAAACTTGGAAATGGACGTGAAAACCTATGGTGGTGAACTTGGGTGTGATTGAACAAGTTGTCAATGTTTTCCATGTGCCCATAGGCCATGGCTCAAGAATAGCCGTAATAGGCTACAGTAACATCCAACCCCACTGACAAAGGAAAACTTACTAAAGCCAGCGTTTGCCTCCCTATGTCTTGACATGTTTTGACCAATGGGTGCTTTTCCAAACAGAGTGCCGCCACACGATGACCTCTATGCTGGTCTCATTCTTATTGCTGCATTGCTGCTGCTGTCGTGTGTTTGTTGGCGCTCTTCTTGTTGTCCTTCTTCTTCTTCCTCCTCCTCCTCCTCTTCTTCTTCTTCGTTTCTTCTTTCTTCTTGTTTCTTGTCGTTCTTTTTGTTCTTCGAATGATACAAGGAATTGTTACTGCCGGTGTCTGCCATATTTTCTCCACACAGAATGCGCAAGAAGCACTCTGTTCTCCACCCTTCAAACAGGGCAGTGGTTAGGGTATGCTCTGACACCCATCAGCCAGCGGAGTTCGACCCCCAATTGATGCTCATTGATACCTGGATCTCCCGAGTTTGCGGAGCTATTCCAGCGAAAGGAGCCGAGTTGCGGCAACTTCGTTCCAAACATCTCACCATCTGTCAGATCTATAGAAACTCATAGTGGATTGAGAGTAGATGGCAGACCCCAAGAGGTGTAGGACCTCCATCTACTCTAAAACTACTGTAGGCATAAGATGACGTTAGAATTTCTGGTGGTCATCTGTTGGCTGAACTGCAAAACCCTGGAAATTCCACAGCGTGCCACTCAATTTTGGGGGGGGCTTACCCTTGTTATTCTGTGTTCATCCTTTTTCCTTGGTAGATGCCTCGCTCCTTCGCAATTCTGAGATCCCGACAAAGTCCACAAGGCGCCCTCTAGCGTGAAAAGCCGCCAAAGCGGCTCCAGCGGACCCAGGCCTGTCGAAGGGTTCCACCAACGAAACAGAATCGAATCCTAAGTTGAATCCTAAGCAGCTCCAAAAAGGTCGTCCATCCTAAAAATCCTAAAGCTCTTCAGTATCCCGTATTCGTCATAGCTCGCTGTCAAAAGCAGTCAAAAGCCACAAAAAAGGCCTTGACCTTGCCAACCTAATACCTGATTTGGTCACCCTCTGCTTGCACCATCCTTTTCAGTCCCTACCATCCTTTGCACCGTCCCCAATCTCCAGCCTGTCCCGTCCGAGAAGAGGTCCGAAAAGAGCAGATCCGCCGAATCGGCACCTCAGCGTCATCTGCGTCTCAACGGAAACCGAAAAAACCAAACCGAAACCTCCCACGAGGAAGTTCGGGTTCGGCCCGTTCGGGTTCGGACCGTTTGGGGGACCGTTCGAAGCTCGGTGTCACGACCGCAGACGCACCGAGCTTGCGGACTCGAAACGAGTGACGGGCACGCGGACTCTTTGGCGTCGCTCGACGGTGACGGGGTCCACGAGACGGACCGTGGAGAAGTGGCGACCGTCTGTTGAGCTGAGTTGGGACCGTCCGCGCGACCGTCCGCTGTTGAGGTTGGAAGAACGGCACGTTCGAACTCACGACAAAGTTCGTGCGGTAGCAACTTCTCGATTTGTGCGGTCGGC